AATATAAAACTCTTGCTCGGTTTTCTTGTTATCGTCCATTTCTCTTTTTTTTTTTAATATTATGAAAATATTTACTTATTATTTTATGTGAGTAAACACCAATCTTTTTTTTTTAAAAAAAAAACTATCAATTTAATGGTGTTATGAGTTTTGTTAAGTTTAACATTTAGGTCCCGAATTGAGAAAAAATATCTTTCAAGCCCCACATTGATAGTTTACCCATCGTTCGGGTCTTGTATTGATAAAACTCCTAATAATAAATGTATGAAATAGGTAAATGATCTCTATTTGTATTTATACATTTATATTTATTAGAAGTAAAACAAAATGATTATAATACTGTAGAAGTATGAGATATGCAAATATTTTTGGCTTGCATGTGAAATTAGTCTCATATAATCGCATATGTGCTGAGGTGTGTTATGGAATGTTTTGAATTAAATATAATTAATTATGTTATTAAATATTTTGTTTAAACAATTAGGAAATGTCATTTTAGTAAGTCCAAACCTGTTTATTTTGGAATGTAATTATATTAATTTTTATCCGAGCCAAAATCTGAAGCATGTAATGTTGTCAAGTAAGATTCCGAAGCGTGCGAACCAGCCATTTAGGCTCAACACGTTTTGAAATTATATAAAAGGGGGATGACACAAAAACAAATCTGAATTCAATTTCCATTTTCAGATTTTATTCAGTTATCACGTTAAGAAAGAGCACGTATACATTTAATAAACGTGTGGCTCAATTGTTTTAATAAATAAATAAGAATTGTGAGTTCGGTTTTTACTCGTATAAACACGGTTCGTCTCATTTATATACTTTAAAATCTAGATCAAAATTCAAATCGAGTTGATCGCAAGCACATCAACTTGACTTGTTCGATGTCTCAACTCGATTGATTGTTTGAATTTAGCTGTTTGAATATAGAAGCTAGACAAGCAAAATTTTCACGAGTCAAATTGAATATAGAAGCTAGACAAGCAAAATTTTCACGAGTCAAATGAAACTATTTTTAACGGACAACTCGTTTTAAGCAACAATACATTTTTGCAACCCTAACAAATGCACTTTATAACCGCGAATGAAGTCTGGCCACGCTCCTAATTTACCCAGAAGCGTCGACCAAATTGGAAGATTATCGAATACTAGCGAGTTATTATACAACGTGGGCTTTGAAAATTTACCAAATCATCATGTCCTTCGTATAATCAATCCTCCAATAGACGTTACATGTTTCAATAATTATATGCGTTCATGTTTTCTGAAAACTAATTCACTAGATAAGAGAGTTCACACAAACAAATACATTAAGATAAATATGGACATATCATCGGCTAAGAGCAATAGTTGCAGTAATTTCTCACTTTTACAACATTATGTTGATTTGGTTGATTATTTATCTTGTAGCCTTGGTAACAAGGAAGGGTTATGCTCATACTTGTCTAAGATTAGGGATTTGATCTTGCATTGTAATGTCTTTATTGGTACTTGTTTTTAGACTATGGATTTGTTGGTGCTGGCTTATTGCCTACTAGATCTAGGTGTCACCTAGTTCGTGCTTTTAGAGTCTGCTTGCGTAGGGCTTGTAAGGTTGTAATCATTTGGTTGCCGATTTGTCATTTGAGTTTTATAAAGTTGGTTGATTGCCTTAGAAAAAAAAAAAATA